GTCCTCCTCCGCGTCGAGGCGCTCCTGCTTGCCGAGGTACTCGAGCTTCACAGGGTACGGCGCCCCTCCCTCTGGGGACCCCACGACGATGCCGTTGTGGGACGGAGGTGAGGTGGGATGATGGTGGGCCTGGTGGTGGTATGGGCCGCTGTCCACATCCCGGGGGGCAGGGCCAATGCTGTGACAGCGGTACGCTTCATCACGAGATGCTGGGTGTGAGGCGTCATCACGACCTGTCTCTTATACACATCTAGATGTGTATAAGAGACAGCACCACCACCACGCACACCTGTTGCTCTGCCCACTGTGAGACGCTGCTGCTCTCCTGCTCTTGCACCCTCCTCCGTCCTCTCCACATGCTCCTCCGTCCCCTCCACCTGCTCCTTTTTGCCCCTCCATCTGCTCCTCTCTCACCTTCACCTTCTTCTTTGCCCCCCTTTACCTGCTCCTGTGTCTATTCCACCTGCTCCTTCGTCGACTTCACCTACTCCTCTCACCCCTTTACCTGCTTATCTGTCAACTCCACCTGTTCCTTTCCCCCATCCACCTGTTCCTTCGTTCCCTCCACCTGCTGTCGCTCGTCCTCTCCCACAAGCTCTCATCGGTCCTTTGTTAGTTTCCGTTCACGCACAAAGCAAATTTACGTACTCGATGACCGATATAAACTTTAATATTGACAATACTACTAGACTCTCTCGCTGACACAAAATGACGGTTAATTACGAAGCACGCATAAGCCTCATTAGAACCTCCAACTGTTGATTTGCGACACATCATAGTTAGTAGTTATCAACCCGTTACTTCATCAACGCTGTCACACAAGCGTAGGAACTCTCGCTGGCGCCTCTAGACAGCCATCCCGTGCTAACTACACGGCGTATCACTGATACGCTAATTGTGCACTTCTTGCCAAGCATGTTGACCACTTGACACGGCGTATCACTGATACGTTATTGTGCACTTCTTGCCAAGCATGTTGACCACTTGACACGGCGTATCACTGATACGTTAATTGTGCACTGCTTAACCGGCTTAAGTACACGTACCGGCCTAAGTACACATAGTGGACGATTTGTCGTCTGTCATTGTTAGGTTAAGCTTTAAGAGCAGTCATTGGCTGACGAATTTAAGAACTCGTTACTATTTTACAAAGTGCGGCCAATGTTAAAGTGGATGCATTTTCGCGAAATGTTTTCATATAATTGTATTTGCTGGGCATTTGATGACTAATCATTGAATCAGGTTCCAACAGTTTCAAAGCAAAACAACGGTATATTTTCACTGAAGACAGGAGGCTACTTACAAGCCGCCTCCGATATCTTGTGTGCGATTGGTGGGTTTAGCCCAAAAAGCTGTCAGTGACTGGCTGACTGAGTTATGAACACGTAACTATTTTTGATAGCACGGCTACAACCCTCCTCCGTCCTCTCCACATGCTCCTCCGTCCCCTCCACCTGCTCCTTTTTGCCCCTCCATCTGCTCCTCTCTCACCTTCACCTTCTTCTTTGCCCCCCTTTACCTGCTCCTGTGTCTATTCCACCTGCTCCTTCGTCGACTTCACCTACTCCTCTCACCCCTTTACCTGCTTATCTGTCAACTCCACCTGTTCCTTTCCCCCATCCACCTGTTCCTTCGTTCCCTCCACCTGCTGTCGCTCGTCCTCTCCCACAAGCTCTCATCGGTCCTTTGTTAGTTTCCGTTCACGCACAAAGCAAATTTACGTACTCGATGACCGATATAAACTTTAATATTGACAATACTACTAGACTCTCTCGCTGACACAAAATGACGGTTAATTACGAAGCACGCAGAAGCCTCATTAGCACCTCCAGTTGTTGATTTGTGACACATCATAGTTAGTAGTTATCAACCCGTTACTTCATCGATGCTGTCACACAAGCGTAGGAACTCTCGCTGGCGCCTCTAGACAGCCAGCCCGTGCTAACTACACGACGTATCACTGATACGCTAATTGTCACTTCTTGGTACGCATGTTGACGACTTGAAGTACACGTACTTCACGTGTTCACGTACCTAAGTACACTAAGTGCACATAGTGGCCGATTTTACGTGTGTGATTGGTAGGTTTAGCGTCAAGAGCAGTAATTGACTGACGAATTTACTAACTCGTGACTATTTTACGTAGTACGGCCAATGTTGCGTGAAATTTTCGCGAAATGTCTTCATAAAATTGTATTTGCTAGACATTTTATGGCTTTAATCATTGAATTCAGTTCCAACAGTTTCTAAGCAAAACGACGGCATATTTTCACAGAAGATTGGAGGCTACTTACTAGCGTCTTCCAATATCTTGTGTGGGATAGGTGGGTTTAGCCCGAAAAGCTGTCAGTGATTGGCTGACTGTTATGAACACGTAACTATTTTTGATAGCACGGCTACATCTCTATCATTGGTTCAACAATTCATTTAGTTTGGTCGCTCTATCGAAATTTTACTTCAATTTAATGAATTTTGAACCAATGGCGGTTCTCGTCTCTGAAACGTATTCAATGAAAATCTGGTAAATAATCTTGGCGTAGTTTGAATATTTAATTCTTCGTCAATTTGCATTTGAGCAAATAAATGAGTAAAATTTATTTAACATGATTTTATTAAAGCTGGTTATGACGTCGTGCGAAAACTAAGTATGGGCCCAATATTTCTCAAATAACTGAAAATAGTCTACCACTAAGTTGCTGCACAAAATATTGCGAAATATCTGTCTATTTCATATAAATAATGCGAGGTAATGAAAGGACGTGATAAAAAACAGGTTTATGAATTAGGCACTATCATATTAAATTATAACAAAAACAGACATAACGGAAACAGCGTAATGCATAACGACTTGAAAAACCCAAGGAAAGCCCAAGCAACTAACATTTTTGGATCGCTTCCCGCACTCCTCTTCTAACCAACTCGTATCCCTTCGTTACCAGTATTTATAACTGTAGTGATAAGAACCTTTAACTTCATGATAATTTCCTACTAAAGCTTCCTGGTCTAAGAGGAACTTGAACGTTAATATCGTCACAGTTACAACAATGCCCGAAAATGCACACAAATGTCCACATTTTCCCTAGAATATCTTCGTCCCGTCTCGATTTAGCCTCCCCCACCTTGATATTGTTAAACTCTCGTTTCAAGCGAAATCATTTCATAGAATTCAATGGTGCACATAGCATAAGGGTGCATTTTATTTTATATTTTTTGAGGGGATTCGCAACCCGGGTTCCACTGGAAAAATTTTCTCATATACGTAATTACCATAATTAACAAAATTTCACAATATAGGCATTATCGTTGATAAGCCAATGAAGACTATACGACGTATGATTGACAGTACTCAAGACGGCCACCGTCTGCTTGGAAGTCCCGGCGTCTAGACAGTATTTTTTTGCAAGACAACTACTGCCTGATTGACATACAAAGGGCATCATCACGGCGACCACGCAGCGCTCTGCAATACAAAGGGTGTCATCACGACGACCACGCAGCGCTCTGCAATGCAGAGGGCATTGTTGTTTCTTGCGTTATTATCAAAGAGACCACGCAGATACATGTGGTTACCTCCACGCACATGGAGCTTTCAGGGAAACTTCACGCAAGCTGGACCTTCAAGGCAACACCATGCCAGAGCCCAGAATATCTTTCAGGGTTGAGCACATGACACCTCCAGGGTAATGCCACACCTGCTAAGTTTGTACGTTACTCTATGCACGTAAAGTCTGTACGTAAGTCCACAGCAGGTCTCCCTGTTACTGCTCACCTGGTGAGGGCTCTTGAGCTGGGGCGGTGCGCGGGCGAACAGCAGGTGCAGGACCAGCGAGTGCGGCAGCAGCTCTCCGATGCTGGACACCTGAAGGGGGAAGACTTCTAAAATCATCTTGTCTGATAATAAATAACATTACAAAATTCCTAGAACACATGTCGGACTATATAAGTACAATTGTATGATTTGTACAATTGTACGATTGTAAAGCTTCAAAATTAGGCAAACGGGGGTAAATTGGTAGGTTCTGAAATTTACACTTCGTGATTCTTCGTACATAAGAATTTTGATCAATTAATAGCATGAAAGCGAATGAGTTTCTTCCCATTCGTAAGCCCAGAGGGGCGGACAAAAATTCACAATTTCCACCTCATTCCAAGAAATTTATTCGTATTGTTGAAATTGGACCTGGAAATTTCACTCTAGCACCGTGGATCTAGTATTTAACTTCCTGTAGCACCTCTGCGTGGTACGCTTGGTTGATCTCCTGGTCAGTGGATCTTCAGACATGACCACTTGGTTTACTCTTCTCGTGCCTTCCTTCAGCAAATAATTTATGCAACAACAGCATTCCAGATCCTACTTCTTTTCATGCGCTTGCTTATTTTGTTCATCCAGAAACTAAGTGCATTATGTGCTCGCAGAGATCCGATACTGATGAGCGGCAAGTGGCTCAGTTCCTTGCTTGCTGGTTGGCTTCACGGGATCCGGAGAGACCAACGATCTTTCCACTGATGTCCTTCTTAAGGTAAGATCACGGTACAACTCTGGGAATGCTTTTGCTCTCTATTCGGTATATAATTTCTGATAGTTTGATCACGTAAATGAAATACTTAAACGGCTTCGAGTACTTTACAACAAAATGTTAGAAATTTTAATTTGTGTCTTGTGAACTTGAAAATATTAGCTTTCAATATTTCGCATCGGCATTTGAAATCGATATCTTTCATATCCACAGGCGTAAGGCGCTGCTACTGAGGAAGATGCCTGGAAGCCATCTGGGTAGGAGATTTCCAGTCCATTTAAAGATGTGTAGTAGTTTAAACTTATAAAGGGGATGGACACAATAAGGGGAAAACCTGTCGTTTTGATATCGTAATTTATGGACATGTTATAAACAATAAAAACGGTATATATTTGTACCTTTTATTGTTGCTGTTAATTGATAGTTTATCTTTGCACAGACATTTTTAGTAAATTGTGTCTGTAACCTATAACCTAAATATGGCAAACCTCTGTGTTTGCCTTTGTTGTTGCCATTGTTGGGACCCTTATGACCGACAGAATTTCCCGAATACTAGTGTGACAGATGCTTCCCGAATACTTGACGATTTCTAGAGGTACTGTTAAGTTTCAACGTTAATGACTGCTTTTGGAAGTCGCAATTGTCGGGGAGAGACCATCGGTATACCTAAGTCGAATTGTGAGGAACAATCGAAATACCAGGACTGTTAAAACTTCTGCAGACCTCAATGGACGGACACCTACAGCAACCAGTTTCCATAAAAACTATCCGCCGAGAACTGCACTGATCTGGATTCTATGTAAGAGCTGGAATTATTAAGTAGGAGGACGAAGTTCATTCAATGTTTCAAGCAGTTTCCAGAGGAAAACGATATCTTTTAAGAAGATAATGCCTCGACCCATACTGCTGGAATTGTTAAGGAAATAGCACGAGAAACATATTAATAAAGTTGAGCATCTACTTTGGCCTCCACAATCATCTGGCTTGATTGGATTGTTATCGAGCATTTATGTTCGATTTTATAGATACAAGTCAGAGGTCTATTCCCGCCTCCGTCTTTAATAGAGCTGGAGAGAGTTCTAACTGAAGAATTAATTTAATTCCTTCGGAAACTATTCATGATTTGTACTAATCAATACCTTGGAAAATTGAAGCTGTGATTGCCGCAAAAGGTAGACCATCATCATACTAAAATACACACCGTATATTTTGTCTCACCCCTGCATATTGATAATTATTGCCTTTAATCTAATTAATCTAGATATACCAAGCATTTATGCATCAGCTTGTATTATAAATAGAATTATTTTTAGTTCTGCCTATTTATGTTATATTTTTACATTTTTATTGGTTAAGTTAGCTAAGAATCATTTTACATCGCCCCAATGATGAAAGAAACTGTCCAGAATTTGCACGCCGCTCTGTACCCGTCATACTGATCGCTTACAAAAGAGAATCAAATGTGAGGATTAATTGCGATCTACAAACAACGAGCAGTTGGTCTTGGCTACCCGCACTGAAGGGTTTCTTCTAGATGGAGCATACGGAGAGATGGCAAGTAAGTGTCCTGATCAGAGCATCATTGACATTAAATCAATAGGCGAAGAAATAAAGTCTGAAATGAAGGGAGCACACCACCCTCAGGAGTCTGTAGGCTCACCTGCGTCAGGTGCTGGGGCGTCAGGAAGAGAAGGGGGCGCACCGCCCTCAGTAGCCTGTAGGCGTCCCCCAGGTCCGAGGCTCGGCTCACGAGGGTGGTGATAGCCTCCTCCAACTGCGTCCAAGAAATCCATGCAATTTTATGTATTATTTAGCCGAGAAGTAGAGAGCGGGAAATGATGGAGAGTAAATGAGAAGCGAGGGCAGAGGAAGAGAAATAAGGGAGAAGAGAAGGAGAGAAGGAGACAAGCTGAAAGGGTTTCAAGTAACACAATACACAATCAACATTTGGCGCTCTGTGGCTACGAACTAAAGAAGAGCCTCAGTCAACGCATGGCTGACAATAGTAAATATTTGATTACCTTCTCAACCCTTTACGCACGAGGCACGCGTGCCACACGAACTGCGTCAGGCAGCGCCGCCCCACCGCCTCCACGCTGCACATAACGACTCCGTTACATAATATGCTTTTTCAGCACATAATTCATTATAATTTAATAATTATATATAATTAATTATATTCTTAACTATATTCATTATTGATGTCTTCGTTTTCACTACATTGAAGCACGCAACTACTCCGTTACATCATATGCTTTTTCAGCAATTGAATTCATCTATCACTATATTAAACATAAATGTCTTCGCTTTCACTACATTCAATATCTTCCTAATCAAAATAAGCATGATCACTATATTTAATAGCACAATATTTACATTTTTACATGTTACATCATATAGGTATGCTTTTCCAGCAAATAATTCATTATCAATTATTTCATACAATAATATTCATTATCAATTTCTTCGTTGTCACTAAGTTCCCCACAAGAAATAACTGCTACAAAACAGGTTCCCAGTGAAAATAGTCTAGGGGAAGCTATTTTCCACTACATTCAATATCAATATCTTCATAATCATAATAAGCATTATCAATATATTCAATAGCACAATATTATCTCTGTAGCTACAATTCATGAAACAAATTCTACTTTGGAAATCTATCGAATATTTTACTATTTTCAATCACAATAATATTATATTCCACCCACATTGGACTTCAAGGACTCCACTATTCAATAACTTGAACAATGCATTCATTATGGCTCGTGTTTAGTCGAAATAGCAAATTCAATGCGACATGGTATAATTTCTTTCCTTATAACCATTGAAAATATTTAAATCTTCAAATGATGTAGGTAGTTATTATCCAATTGATTAATAACAGCTGGTAAAATATGCAACTTTTGATGCAATATAAATTAGAATAGAGTTTTCATCAAGAAGAAAAACCGCAATTATCTTGAACAAAATAACATTCATTGTCAAGGTGCCAGGAACGGCGAAAAATTTGTCAAAAATTTAAACAGACTTTCTCATCTCGAGAAATCCTGAAAAAAGTCCGCTTGACTTTAGTTTCCTCTTCCAAAAAACTAAAAAACAAGGAATTTTCGTTGTAAGTAGGGTAAACACAAGTAAGGTAAACACAAATAGGGTAAATTAGGGTAAACAAAGAAGCGTTGTGCACGCACTTGTCCTTAATAACGGCGGAGGCGCTGAAGGGTGCGATGTAGTCGGCCACCGCACGGGACAAGAAGCTCTGCAGCTCGCGCATGTACAGCGAGCATTGGGGGGTACCGTCTGTCTGGGTCTCGTTCCTGTAAATAATCGACATTGAAGTGCACGCTAACAATTAAAATTACCCTAAACCACAGGAAAATAACATTGGAAGGAAATGAAACAATAACTTCAACCAAATCACAGGAAAATAACATTGAAATGAAGAGCAACAATAACATAAACCAAATCGCATGAAAATAACATTGGAAGGAAATACAATATAAACTTGAACCAAATCACACAAAAAGAAAGTTGAAATTAAGAGCAACATTAAACTTAACCCAATTACAGACGGGGATTTAAACGGTTAATTATGATCACAATAAATAAAATCTATACAATAGTTGAAACCTGCCAATGAATTGATGGTTTTGCTTCCTATTGCGTCAACTCGAGCTTCGTGACGGGGCGCTGAGGAACAATGATTTTAGGAATGCTAAATCCTATAGGACTTCTGACGTTATAAGCCCTTAGTAGCCTATTCATTAAACATGAGGCTGCATTGACTGCATAAAGCTGGGCTTTGATAACTAGGAACTGTAAATTCATTTCATAGTTTTAAAATCGAAAGCACAACTGTATGAAAGAAAAAATATAGTAACTCAGTAGGTACTCACTGCAGTGAGTGACAAAAAGCGCATTTTTTCGTCGACGAAAAATTCAAATCATGGACGGACAGACAGACGGACGGACATGACGAGCACAATAATGCATTTTTTCATAAATGAGAAAATGTGCTAAAAGCTGTTTCATGGAAATGACGCGTAACGCACAACATGATAAGGTAAACGAAAAATGTAGAACACATCAGACTCGTACAGTAGGCAAATCTGTGCACGAAGACCCAAATGTTGTGAAGCACACGAGGTGACTTTCAAATGCAGCAATTTCTCCAGTTCACCCCACCCATCTTCACATCACCCACACAGCATACAGCCTGCAACACAACATACTGCCTGCAACAACACAACATACAGCCTGCAACACAACATACAGCCTGCAACACAACATACAGCCTGCAACAATTTTCTTTCGCCTTACATCATTTACATCAGTTTTTCTCGTTAACATCAGTCTATACTCTATATCATTAACATCAGTCTCTCTCATTAACATCAGTCTTTCTCAATAACATCATCTATCTCATTAACATCAGTCTTTCTCATTAACATCAGTCTTTATCATTAACATCAGTCTATCTCATTAACATCAGTCTTTCTCATTAACATCAGTCTTCATCATTAACATCAGTCTATCTCATTAACATCAGTCTTTCTCATTAACATCAGTTTTTCTCAATAACATCAGTCTTTCTCATTAACATCAGTCTTTCTCATTAACATCAGTCCATCTCATTAACATCAGTCCATCTCATTAACATCAGTCTATCTCATTAACATCAGTCTTTTTCATTAACATCAGTCTACCTCATTAACATCAGTCTTTCTCATTAACATCATTCTTTCTCATCAACATCACTTTTTCTTAATAACATCAGTCTATCTCATTAATAAGTCTGCTAGCATTACATTAAGGTTCCTATTAATATGACCGCAAAACAAACTTTCATCAACAAAATAATCTTTAATTAGTAGCTAGTCACAAGTGAAGCACGAGATGAAGGCCAGCAAGTGAGGCACGAGATGAAGGCCAGCAAGTGAGGCACGAGATGAAGGCCAGCAAGTGAGGCACGAGATGAAGGCCAGCAAGTGAGGCACGAGATGAAGGCCAGCAAGTGAGGCACGAGATGAAGGCCAGCAAGTGA